AACACCTTATATATCTTATGTAAGTATATGGTAGTCGTTTGTACGTAATGGTAGTGGCTAATGCCAACTGAGATATCGTGAGTGACACTTAAGTATCTGTTCTGAAAACAGTAAATAATACTATTGTAGTGGCAATTAAGTAATCATTGATATATATTATATTCAAATGTACGTTGTTTATAAGTAATTTTTGATCAAATATTATATTTACTTATGTTGAATGCAACTGAATACAGTTATCCTCTTTTGAGATTCCAATTTGTAAGTTACTAGCTTTAATATCAGCGTGGTTCTCTTTTCCCGATAAAAAGGTATCTAATGAAAAGCATTAGTTTTCAATGAATAACCACTCCGGCGAAATTGCTGGTCATTTGTGAACGTTTTCCCGATCTGATAATATTGCAGTATCGCTGCGGGAAGGCGCGGCCATTTACGACCTGGGAAAGATTTCCATTTCGCGCTTCGTCGCATTTGGCTGTGCATTAAAATATGCATCGGGGTCGCTATTCTATGACGAGTTTTAAACTGGCCATAAAAATGACTTCAAAAAATCTAAAAATATTTTTTTTATTGGAAGAGGATTAGGGTCACCTTTTTACAACTTCGAAACTAATCGACTTTGTTATAATACGCATAACGTAAACTGCCTTTAACTGAATTAAATTTTTTTAATTATTCAAAATTTGAAACGAGGAATAGCTGACTACAAAATTGAAAGAGGATTACTCTTATTAAATAATTTATTCCCAAAACAAAGATGTGTATAATAATAGCATTTTTTTGTATATAGGCTTATAAATTATAATTAAATTTCATCAAAATATTTCAGTAGTTTTTACGTGAACGCGTAACAAACATAAATATATCCAGCCTCACAAATACCAGAATAACCGCCTCCAATTGCTCAGTTTGCACCAGTCGCACGATATTATAATAGTATAAATAAGGAATACTGGGTGTTATCTGGTCCCCAATTTCTGGGAAGATCGGTTATTAAATTTGTTATAATTTGATGTTTAATAAATATGAGATTCTTAAGGCGTGTCTATCTACATTGGGAGATTGATCGTAAGGAGATGGCGAGCTGACCGTCACGTCGTCGTCGCGTCCGGTATCGCTCGCGCGTGGTAACGGCCAAATTGGTTCACAAATTGTCCTCACATCGCGAGACATAACTTGAATGTAAAAACATGCCTTTAAGTTTTCTTTGACAGCCAAAGATACTTTTAAAATCCTAAATGATAACGATTTGAAGTCACCTGTTTTATTATTGCACGATATTTTCATCGCATCACTTACTCGCAGTAGGATATTCTTGATAGGCATTTGTAATATCATATCACGATGAGCAACGTGCGATGTATCATGACAGTTTAAACATAAATCGCACGACCACTTTCATAGCACAACTAAATCGCATCGTTTGCTTGATTGCACGTTTTCATAACATTAGTTTTCATAAATATACTGAACACAGCAACTTTGTAATTTAAATACACCTACTAAACTATCGTACGATAATTTTCTTCGCATCGAAATAGTATCGTTTGCTCGAAGTACAAGGACGCCGCATTCTTGACTGATTTTTTGTTCAATTATAATGCATCGTGCGATGTACGATGTGCGACAACTCAAACTATCGTACGATTGATTACTTTCATAACACAACCATACCATATCGCTTGCTTGATTGCATTGAATTTAGCGCTTTGTGGTGCCAAATAAAAACCGGGCGGGATATATGTAATCATAGCTTACTCGTATTATGAACGAGCTCTAAGAGCGGTTTGTCACATTTTGCGAAATGAAAGGAAAAACGGTATCAGTATCTTTTCTATGTGAGCTATGTATGGATCATTAATATTCTTATCATACGCTGACTCCTGTCGTGATTCATTAGTTGCAAATCAATCTTGTGAATAGGGGATTGGTAGGTACGCTTGATCAGGTACGCAAAGGTATTTATTGAACTCAATGATTAAATTCGCTTTGGTATTTACAGGCAATGCTTAGGGTTCTGTATGAATTTATGGATTTAGAGAATTTGAAATATGATATACAATTTTGCATTCACTATGCTTTATATGCATTTTTATTGTTTTAATACTCGTAGTTTTAATTATTTCATCTTCATCGACAGTTGAAAATATGTAGTTATAGCAATAGGTATTTCTTTCCACGGTTTAGGTGAATTACTATAACACTAGTACACTAGTAGTGAAAACAACATGTGCTTAAGAAGTCTCTAGGTTTTTTAAGCATGTTTTTTTAAGATAAATGGGAGAAAACTACGTGAAACTTTTAAATAGTGTAATTTTCTATCAGTCAACCTTAGTATGATGTGGAAACAAATGGACGTTGGGGTGCACATTAGAATTGGAAATTTTATAGGAATAGACAATCATATAAGTAGACTTGCTTATACAATATACATATATGAATAATTATATAAACAAATACATACATATAAAAACGATTTGATGAATCTGCTTGTTCCATCAGAAAGATACGAAGCGAATTTACTATTGATCATTGTTGGGTCCAATGGGAGTTCATTGCACAATATTTGACTGATTATTATCATCAGCCCTTTTACGTTCCCACTGCAGGGGCTCAGGCCTTCCTTATGGATGGTTAAGGAGGATGGGCCATGACCCTCCACGCTGGCCCAATGCGGATTGGAGGGTATTAACGACTGCAATTTGACTAATACTTTGCTTTAAATTTGTTTTAATCTAAGTTTATAGTTTGATTTTTTATTAACCTATTATTTTCATAAAGTCATCTCTTTAAACGTTGGTTTAAATTCACACAAGACCTCGGCATCAGGCAGGATCACATTTTTAGATGTTTCGGTCATTTTTAGTGATCAGAAGTCTCTGTGGAACGCTGGTGTACTGGTATCATCAAAAATTCAATGCTAAAGTAGGAAACCACGAAAACGCCTTAGATCACCATTAGTTAGGTACTTCAGTATTAACTAAATGAAGAATATTCTTATTTAATTTGCGAAAGGTCATGCGTTAAGTCCCATCTCAGAGTGCCAGGGACAAAGTGGATTTTTAAGCATTTTTCATTAAATATATATATTTTTATAATATAACATTGAGAATGAAAAATTTATCAAATATAATGACCAAATGAAGGTTGAGTGAATTGTCCGAGAAGTGTGGCTGCGCATAGCATATGCTACGAATCCTCAACAAACGATCGCGACCTAGAGTTTAGCGACTTAGAAGAAGAAGGTAGTAAGGTACCGATTATTTAATGGATATTGAAACAAGATTTACGTCATGTAGAACTTTAAATCCCTGTTGTCATTGGGTTAGATAGTTATCTTGATTGAAATTCAATTATTTAATTTTCTCTCAGTTATTAAATCCGTCTATCAATCACTTTCATAATTGAAATCGTTTCGTTTCCAAAGTCAAATTTGAATGTGATATTTTATATTAGATAACGGTACTGTTCTTATATTATTGAAAATCTATAATTTAATGAATTCCTCTTTTACTAATAAAAAATAAACCCTTATCTACATTTCTCAGCCAATCTAATATTCCCTCAAAAAGACACATCTCGTATCAGCAACGGAACGGGATTCGACGCCATAGTCGTCTCGTTTCGTCGTTCTAGCAAATCTCCCTGAATAGCCAATCGAGGGGGGCGGGCCTTGGTGTTTTTTTTTCTTGCCTTCCATTTGAATTTGAACGCTTTCTTAATGAGGCGAAATTGGGTTTTGATGACATTACTCCACCGGTCTCAATTTCAGACTCATTGAATTTGTCCAACGCCAGTTTGCCAATATTGGATTTATTCAGCGTTTTGAGTTATCACAATGTTATTACTGTGCGAAAAATAAAGCAAAAATATTTTTGTGGATTTTTAAACCAATTTTAAGTACCTCTACTACTCGTACACATTAACATAACACCTGAGGGTACTAAAATTTCCTTTGTCCTAAAATTTCGAATAGTTGTTATAATTTTGTTAAAATCGTGTTCGTGAAGATTATCTATGTATTGTTGGCAATGTCAAATCCTACCTCATGAGTAAAGTAAAGATAACTTACCTAAGTTGTAAGCGGTAATGTTGGTCAATTCTTACTACAGGCTGATTAAAAATCGTGGTATTTGATTTTTTTTCTTTAAATTTAGTGTTGTGATTGTTATTCTCAAAGTAATATTAAACCAATCAGTAAGCGCAATAATAAGTACGAGTTGTATATTTTATAACAGTACCCGCTCTGGGATTTTGTAAAAATCCAGACCCGAATTCGAATTCACTCATGTTTCCGAATTTACGTCAATTAGTATAGAAATTCTATTGATTCCATTTTTTGAATAAAAATAAAAACATAAGTGATTGTATATACTTGTGTCAGTTATTCTATTTCTATGTCATTTCGAAACTCACTTCACTTATGCATTATGCATTAAACTTTATTGCAGACGTAGTCAATGCGGACACCTGAGTGAATTCGAATTCGGGTTTGAATTTTTACAGAATCGCAGGGCAGATCTGAATGAGCTATAGTTCCAGTATTTCAAGGAATTGAAACATCTTGTCTGCTTAATAGTGACTCACTTTGACTAAATCATATTATTCAATTAAGATGCCATTACATAGCAGTAGTGTTGTTATTATAGCGATATTGCGTTATCGACAATTTATAGGTAGGGGAGAGCGGGGCTGAAAGTGCCGGGGGTAAATTGTGCCGATGCCAATATCTCGAAAATGGAAAGAGTTAGATATACGATTGTATTGCGTCGCCTAATGCCCGACAGTTCGGCACACGCGTGTGCCATTTTAGTGTGCTTAACATACCACAATCATGGCATAGAAATGGTGGGGCTGGCAAAGACTGGTTGACAAACTTTTTAAAGAGAAACCACTCCTCCAATATATGCATCGCATTTAAAAAGGCTGACATTTGGCCGTATGATTCGAACATCTTTACAGACGAATATTATGCACCTTCTTTTGGTACTGATCGTTCGATGCCAGAACCTGTAGCAGACAACTTGCCTGTCCCTGCAAATAATCCTCAATATCTGCACAAGTCCAATTATGTGGCCAGCAACGTTGAGATTGAGACTAGTCCATCGATACTACAGCCTCTGCCTCGGCAAAGCGACTGCAGCGTTGACTATATAAGTGAACCAGGTCCTTCGGATATTCAATTAGCTGATAATAATAGAGAGGATAAAAGTACAGCAATTTTCTCACCCGAACTAATAAGACCACTGCCTAAAGCACCTCCCCGATTGATTGGATACAATAAAAGACGTAAAAGAAAGACAACTGTTCTCACGGATACTCCAGAAAAAAATGCTTTGGCTGAAAAACAAGCTAACAAAAAGAAGTAAGAAAGTAAAGGTATAAAGAAAATTAAAGGAAAAAATAAGGGAAAGGGTAAGGGAAAGGGAAAGGGCAAGGCAACAATTGTAACAATTGTAGCTACAATTGAAAAACCAGACGAAAAACCCTGCTAAGAGAAGAGTTTTTGCAAGATGACAGTTCCGATGATGAAGATGACGAAGAAGAATTGTATTGCATAATATGTTGTGATGCCTACTCTAACTCCACCCCTGGAGAAAAATGGATAGAATGTGGAGAATGTAAGAATTGGGCCCATTTGCAATGTATTGAAGATGAAGAAAGCGTAGCCTTTATATGTCCTTATTGTTATTCTGATCAGTCAGATCAGTTGTGATTTTTTAAAAAGACTTTCAAGAGACTGATTAATATTTAAAATGATAATTATAAGGAAAGATCTGTGTTTCTTAATTTTAGAGAAAACTTTATTATTTTTCGTAAAATAGTCTTAAAAGGCTGATATTTTTACTAGTTGATCTCATTCGCATTACAAATAGGTAAAAACTATTGATAGAAATATGCTTTGTGTTTGAAATAATTACGTAAGTCAAGATATCTATTTAATTATTATTATAATACCTTAGTATTATTATCAACTAAATTTTAACAAGTATGACGAATAAATATTTGATTGTAAAATTGATGCATTTTAAATTCTAAATAAAATTTTATTCTCGTAAAACATCTAACGTTATCAACGGCACAACCAACCTCAGCTACGGCACAACTTGCCCCAAACGGGGGTTGGTTGTGCCGTGCCGACGTAGCATGAAAACCTCGCTTTTTCTCAAACACCATTAAAAATGTACAATATATGGAAGTATATTCATTAATTGGACTAAATATGGCTTAAGATGAACCATTGCGTTCAGACATTAGTACTATTTTATCGGATTTATTAAAGGATTTGTCAAAATCGGCACTTTCAGCCCCGCTCTCCCCTACCGTGTTAATACTTAGATCTGAGCGATATTATTATTATCTTTTCAGTCACAATAGTGTATAATCGACACTACCTGTTATATTCGAAGTGGCGGATGTAATTTAATGAACAGATTTGATTGAGTTCATTCAACTAATCCAAAACGGTAGTCATCTGCAAATAGAATGTGAGGGAGAGAACGTGTAGGAGAGAGAATATAGACAGTGCAAATTAGTAATCCAGATAATAATAGGTCAAATATCTTATGTCAACATTATCTATGAGTTCATACGTACATAATAATATATCTAACGTAGTGATATTGTTAAAATATACGATCTTCTTCGATCGTGGTCATCATGAGGCAGTATCATCATTGGAGGCCGATGTAGCCTTTCTCACAACTTTTTGGCATTTTGATCTGTTGGCCGATAGTCTGGTGCATTTGTGTAGTGTCCCCAACTGCTGATTTTATTTGGTAGCCCATCGCATGGGTGATCTGCCATGTGGTCTGGTTCCTTCGACTCTTCCATGGACCAATAAACGCTCTATGGAGTCATGGTTGCGCCTCAAGACATATCCAAAGAACTTTAAAATTCGAGGCTGTACTAAAGTTGATAGACGTTACTAGATGCCGAGTTCTTGAAGTATATATAGAGGTGATTGTACGTAATTCTGTCTATGACACCCCAACATTTTCCTCCAGCACCGCATCTCTAGAGCGTCTATCTATCGCATTTCCAATTATCGTTAAGTCCATAAAAATATAGAAAACACTAATATTATCACGAGTCGGGATTCTTTCATATTTTCTTTAACTTAGCTATTGCAGTCCTGGCAATCGCCATTCATCTTTTGACCTCATTTACGCAGCCCCCATTGCTTGAAATTAAAGCACCCAGGTATATCTAAGATTTGCTGTATATGTTTATGTTAAACTGTATATGTTTATTGTATATGTTTTGCTTCGATTATTCTTTAATCCAAACATGATGCTGACATGTTCCATTTTTTTAAACAAAGTAGTATCGTCAGCGTAACGTTGGTAAATTTGCGATTTTGTAACTACTAACCCCATCACCATCATTCCAGTCCTCTAGAGTGATATGCATCACAAGCTGGATGTAAATATTGAATAGGATAGGGGATATATACGATACCATGGATTATTTGTCCACGGCGGCCAATAAAAATAAATTCAATATACTTATTAAACTTCAATTTGTTTTAAGCCCAGTAGGCTTTTATCTGTACATATATTATATTATTTTATCTAAATAGGTGATGGACTATCATAAAACTGTTATGTTCTTATCATTGGTTTAACTATCGATAATAATAATTATATTCCAACACTTGCCCAATTACATTCACAATTAGAAATTACGTAGCAATTTATTTTGACTATAAAATTGCTATTTTCAAATTGTAGGCTTTATGATATACATATATTTTACTTGGGAAGAAAATGGAAATATTGTCATCATTTTCTTGAAGACACATTTCTAAGTCACAAAGACAACAAAGATAATGTCTCGTATGGTTTTATTTACCCGCAAGATAAGCGGGACAGGTAGGTTGGTAAATATTTTTTTAATATAAAGGGATAAACGTTCACCAGAATGAAATATGTGCTTAATATATCACACTAATATACCAAGCTCATGAATTATTCCTTTTAATAAACCACGAACCCGCAATGAGTGTGCATAAATATGTCTGTAGGAAGGTGGCGTTACAGTCATATATAACTATATATATATATGTTGATAACATATATATGAAATGCCCAAAATATTCTGTGTTTAAATTATTAAAAAGAGGAAAGATTTAATCATTTATTTGCATTGAATAGACTCCAAAAATACTAGATCGATTTTAAAAACTTTTTTACCTACGGAAAATACATCATGAATAAGTGTACGCGCGTCAAGACGCGGGAAACTGAAGTTATGTTTAGTAAAGAAGTAGGTACCTATATTTAATTTATATTTAATTTACGTACCTTATTACGTGGTTTGTCGATATTGAATATGTATGTAGCAATATAAATTTAATAATTTGGATAGAATATCTACATGATAAATTTTATTCAATTGCTATAAGTATTGAAATTTATCTTAATACTATTTCGTGTCTTCATAAGTTTTGAGACAAAAAAATAAAATAAAATGTTACTGGCTGTTATTTATATTTTTACCGATTTTGAATATGGAATGTTAACTTTTAGTTTATTTGTATCGCAAATTCATTTGTTTATATTTGCTTGTGATGGAGCGAACGAAATAATTATGTGCAACTGTCATTTTGCTATTTAAGGCGGGAAAAAAACCGATGCAGATTTTCCGCGATCTGAAAAGTTTTCCTGTAAGCCGTCACTTCGTCTATTACACAATACAGCGGTACAAAGAGACAAGTTTTCTGCAAGATCGCCAAAGGAGTGGTCGGCCACGCTCTGTTAAGACATCCATGTCGCATTCAAAAGAAACTTGCTCTGCAGACTAACATTTCGCGCGTTTCAGTGAACAGAATACTGAAATATGATCCTAAGGTAAAGGCCTATACTCGTAGAAAAGTTCACTTTTTAAATGATCGTCTTCATAAGTTACGATGCGAACGTTGTCCATTGCTGCTGAGGAGACACGATGTAAGGAAGATACTCTTCACCGACGAGAAATTTTATTACTGTCGAAGAAAAGTTTAACCGACAAATCAATAAAGTGTACGCTAAACAAAGCAAGGATGTCCCAGCTTCTGCACGGAATGTCTCGCGCACTCATAATCCGGCTAGTGTGATGGTATAGTGGGGATTTCTTATGTAGGTGTCACTCCGTTCCATTTCTGCCAACAAGGTGTCAAGGTGAAAGCCAAGAATTATCAGAGTGACATTTAAGAGCCCGTGGTGAAACCCTTGTCTGATACGTTATTTCACAATAAGGATTGGGTTGTTCAGCAAGACTCGGCGCCATTTCATGAGCACCCAACCTTAGTTGAGGGAGAATATTGAGGGAGGGAGCCTTCATCGCGGTGGATGAGTGGCCCTCCTTCAGCCCCGACCTCAACCCGCTGGATTATTTTTTATGGACTGAAAAAGAGCTCAAGGCCTGTCGAAACTCCTACCCAAACTTGGAGTCACTGAAGCGAACCCTTGTTAGAGAAGCATAGCGAATTCCGTTAGAAAAGATTCATGCCGCCTTTGATGACTGGCCAAATCGTCTAAGGGCCTGTGTTAAATACAAGGGCAATCATTTTTAAATAAAATATATATTTTATAATTGATTATTATCTATTCAATATTATTAATAAAAAAGTTACGCAACTTTTATTTCGTTATTTTTAAACATTTTTATTTTATTTATATCTTCCAAAAAAGATAGCCAACTTTAGAAAAGAATAGAATATAAATGTTATTGCACACTTACAGGAATACAAGACATAAAAACATATAAAAGAGAAAAACAGGCACAAATGGCGGCAATAAATTTTTTATTGCAGAACAATCTTAAAAATCGTCAACTAGCTTTGAGCGCCTCAATAAAAAAATAACTTTCATTTGATTTCGAACTAAGAAATAAAGTCGAAACAAGCTGTAAATTCAAATAAGATCATCAAAGGCATATGAATGCCTTTGTATTGTATTGTTAAACATAATTGGATTTTGTTTGAACGTCATGAATAACTTCTATCCATTCTTGCGTAAAGTCGTCTATATTCCATTTATTATAACATTTTAAAAAAGAGGAACATAGAAGCAGGAGTGGAAAACATTTTATTTTCAAAAAAAAAAATTAAGAAATAAATAATTAAAATAGTTTTGTTAAAAACTAACAATATTATTATTGAACAATATCAGACTACCTATACTCCATTCATTATAGCATTAGACAGAGGTAAAATAAGGTTCTTTTTATGGTATACTTTGTGACAAAATATCAATAATCATGTTACTCTTAAGACTGACGACTAATTTGCTACATATTCACTTAAATACCAGCTGCTATACTTAACTGTTATCATTTAAGCTATCTATTAAACAAATTTATGAGTATTTGATTAACTTAAATTATTTAATAACTATTACAATAAAAAGTGTTCATCTTAAAGAACCTAAAGAAGCAGGGTTGGATAGTTTCGACACGATTCTCATGTCACTATAATTCTACCAAATTTAAAACGTTGCCTAATCCCTTCAAACATTTCGGCAGTACAGTTTTTTAATTTTGTCAGACTATGATGTATTCATAATTGTCAAAATACGTAATCTGGGATTGTCATCCATCGCCTTTCTTGTTGTTTTACCGTTTCCCGTGATTAAGTTGTTATTGTTATATTTTTGTTTTGTTTTTGTTGTTAAGTTTATTAAATATGGACGATGCCGGTGCAGGCCCGAGTAGCCTACAACAATTACGCTCTAA